GAAAGAGAGAAAGAGAGAGGCTTTTGGTTTTTGGGGAGGAGACAGACGAGGGGTTTTGTTAATGTGAGTGACTCATTGCGGTTGGTTGGTTGATGGTCTAATTACGTTTGATGCCACCCTTTTAACCCTTATTTATAGTGTGGGGGTAAATTAGGGAAAATTCATCGACGTGTCAACATGTCACCGGCCCTTTGCGCTGGTACTGGTTGTAGACAATTAGAGCCCGAAAGTTGGAGACCCACGTGTTGAATGTTGAGCTGGAGTAGTCCACAGATAGTGGAGGGGATGGTTGGTGGTGAGTGCCACGTGGATGGTGTCTCTGCTGTCAATGCTTCCCATTGGAATTTGGAGTAGAAGTTAGAACTAGAAGAGAAGTGGTGACGTTGCAAGATTACAACCAAGGAAACAGGTAGCTTCTCTTTCTTTTTTCACAAGGATGGAATGGAATGGATCATGGATGGATGGGCCTTTTTTTAATATACCCAAACATATTTATGGGCCTCTGGCGGCGAAATTAAATTGTTGGGCCTCGAAAACGAAAAAGAATAAAAAAAAAGATTTATTTATGGTGGGGTTGAGATTATTTTGCTTTTAGAAAAGAGTCTTAAAGAGTGAGAATTTATCTTTGCTTCTGCAATGAAAAAGATAAATGTTAATTATGCTTTGGCCCTGTTTCTGTTGTAGTGATGGAATGGAAGATATATATATATATATGTATATATATGTTGAACAAGTGTTCTATTTCCTTCATGCTCAGTGCTCACACAAGAAAAGAAAAGAAAATAGCAGCAGTACTCATTTTCTGAAGGCCCTTTTTGGGTCTGCTGAATCATCTTCTTCTAACGTCCACCGCAGCATTTGTTTAAAATCCAGGTACTTATGCCCATTTTATCTCAAGTTTTTGGTCTGCTCCAGTCTCTGTCTGAACTTGTAGATCAAAGCATACTTAATAAGATTAATTACCTCAATCTCTTCTTTAGATCAGAGATGAAATGATATATTAGATACGGTTAAGGTTATCTTTTTCAAACATCCATCCTCTCATGCATGCAATCTGTCATCATCCTCTCATCTCATGCATGCTTAAATGGCGCTATTGGATCAATTTTGTTTTAGCATTAATCATTTCAGGACAATTATATTCACAGATTGGGAGCATATATCTATTCTATAGTAGTCATGGCAAATTACAGTAACGTTGGTAATGATAGTACATCGATTCTTATAGACGATGGCACTGCTGAAGAATTGAGAAACACCATAACAAAAAATCTTCTTGGCTATTCACCCTTGCCTGCTCAATGCTGCATCTTCAGAGTTCCCGAGTTGATTCGGAGACAAAAAACAGCGGCCTATGAACCTGACATAGTCTCAATCGGGCCATTCCACCGAGGCTGCGGCGAAAAATTCCAACTCATGGAAAATGTAAAACGGTGGTATTTACAGTGCCTTCTCTCATCACGCGCAGATATAAGTTTGGATAGTTTGATCAAAGGCATCATGGAGTTGGGCAGAAGAGCCCGTGATTGTTATGCAGACCCGTTGGAGCATCTCAGTCAAAAAGACTTCGTACAAATGATGATACTTGATGGTTGCTTCTTGTTAGAACTATTCCGAAAGGAACTTTGGGATGATCTACAAGATGAAAACGACCCCGTTTTCAACCTGTCTTGTATGCTGGAGTATCTGTACCATGACCTTCTGCTGCTAGAAAACCAGCTCCCTTGGTTTGTGCTGGAGGGTTTATACAACCTAACCGCCAATAACACTAACCAAAGAAATGCCTCCCTCATTAAACTTGTGCTCAACTTCTTCAGACAAGCTGTCGATGAACGGATTTTGGACCCCAACTTCCCATTTGAGATTTTGCACATACTCGATCTGATAAGAACCGTGACCGTTGTTCCATTCAAGGATTTGGAATCTCAGAAGAAGGAAGGGCATGTGGAAGAACAAGAAGAGCAGAAAAACGAGCCAGAATTGCCACAACGGATCCCAAATGCAACAACTCTTTCGGAGGCAGGTGTTCAGTTCAGAAGAAGCAAAAACACCCCAGAGTGCATAATGAACATAGAGTTCAACTTCAAAAACGGGGTATTCACAATCCCACCGCTGGGAATTGACGAGAAGACAGGGCCTCTGTTCAGGAACCTCATCGCCTTCGAACAATGCCACCACAGTCGGCTGCACAAGATAACATCGTACGCGGTTTTGATGGACAACCTCATCGACACGAGCAATGATGTAGACCTTCTTCGTGAGAAAAAAATATTGGCGAATTGGTTGAGCCCTGAAGATGCCGCCCAGTTCTTCAACGAGCTTTACAATGACACAACTGTCATTGGATTTTACTACGGAAGTCTCTGCAATGATGTGAATAAATATTACAACACTGACTGGAACAGGTGGAGGGAAAAACTGAAGCGTGACTATTTTTCTACCCCATGGGCCGTCATTTCTTTCATCGCCGCATTTATCCTGCTGGTCCTCACCCTAGTGCAGACCGCATATACAATTCACCCTATCAACGGTTAATAAGCAAGCTTGGATATATGTAATCTTAATAAGCTTTGATGCCGCCCAGTTTGTCTAGGGTCTTTAATTTCTGAAGCTCTGGAAAATTCTGGAAAGTAGCCAGATATTTTCTAGTCTCTGTAGAACCAGCAGCAGCGGCCTTGCTAATATGTATCTAGAACTACTCTTTGCCGGACTTGCCGACCATGGCCTGGCCGGTTTGTCTTCATTCTTCCAAATTTTAATTTGAATTGTTTGGAAAGAAAAAACCAAACGAGCAGTCATTTTTATCAAATATTTTGGGCGCCAGTGGGTACAGAAAAACAAAACAAAGAGAATATAATTTCAAGGAAGTTGCTTGCTACTTTCATGATGAATTAATGTTCTTTTCTTTCCGGTGGTTGAGGCAGTTTTGACGGTTGGCTGGCAGTGGGCCCATCTATTTCCTTCGAGAGAACTTTGAATTGAAGTCGGTAATTAAAATCTATTTTGTACACCTTACCTAGAAAAACTGGTTTCTGAGATTCCTTTTATAAACAGAACAAAGGGTTTTGGTTGGTCAAGAAGAGTAGTGTCTTCCACACGTATTTACGAAACTACCCAGGACTTACACACCAGCCTTTGGTCAACCACGACACGCGGCATTGTTTGTGGCCATATAAACTCTGCTCTTACGTGCGTTGTAAAAAGAAGACTAGTGCTTGCTTCCTATCCTATAGAATAAAAATTTGATCCAAGTGAATTAATGGACAAAGTGGCACAATATGAGCGCGTTTTCAATCACTTTGATGCAAACGGAGATGGCAAAATATCACCTTTGGAGCTACAACAATGTGTCAGGGCAATCGGCGGAGAGCTGTCGTTGACAGAGGCAGAGGTGGCAGTGGAGCACCTGGACTCAGATGGAGATGGGCTGCTGTGTTTGGATGACTTTGTCAAGTTTGTTGACGGCGGAAGAGAAGAAGAGAAGGTGAATGATTTGAAGGAGGCATTTAAGATGTACGTGATGGATGATGGGTGTGGGTTTGGTTGCATTACACCCAAGAGCCTTAAGAGGATGCTGAGTAGACTCGGAGAGTCCAAGAGCGTTGATGAGTGCAAGGTCATGATTTCCAGATATGATCTCAATGGTGATGGGGTCCTCAATTTTGATGAGTTTAAGGTCATGATGTTTTGATATCCATGCAGTAGTGTAGTACTATGGTTACCTTTCCCGTGTCTAGGATTAGATTAGATTGGATAATCGAACATATTTATGTAGTATATATATGTTTTTATGTTTTTATGTTTTTGCTTAGCTTTTGTAATTTTTTCATTCATTAGTAGTTTATTTAGGATTCCTTTATGGCTTTAGGACCTGCTTTTCAGCCAATCCTAACTTGAGACAGTGATATGACAGAGATAAATATTGCAGGGATATAGTTGATTAATATTAGAGAGAGGGATTCTTATCATCCCTGGTATGTTTTTTTTAATACAAGTGATAGTCTAAACTATAAGGAGAAGCAGGGTTTTTCACACACACAATATCGATATGTCATATGAGTTCGAACTTGAGACCACTGATATGCAAATTAAGACCCTTTTTCATTAGGCTTGAACCCGTTGGCATCATCATCCCTGGTTTTACACAACAATACAATACAATCCAACATATTGCAATTAAACTTGGGTTTGATTAAGTAGCAATGCAATTTATTTATTCCTTCCTTTTCTGGAAGGAGGCATTCATACTTCCTGCACATCTCAGTTTGATATATATATAAAATAATTCATTAAAAACACTAAAGAAAATTCTCTACATACATGTCAACATGTGACTGGCAAAAAAGTAAGAGCTTCTCCTTCCAAGTATTTTCCTTTATTTATTTCAGGAAACATAGCTGCATGATACAGAGGAGAAAACCTGCTCTTTATTATTTATTTTCCTATCAGATTCTTGCCTACATATATATAGAGGAAGAAGGAGAGTATTATATAAACCTTACCAAAACGCCAAGACAAGAAACCTAAGACAAATTAAAACATTTATAACATATATAGCTACAAACATGTCTTTTGTTAGTATAAATTCAAGTGATATTTTTGCAAAAATCCCTAATTCTAATAAGTTTTTACCGAGGACTCATATATAATCTTCCATCACGACATGTGAAGAAAAAGTACCAACATTATATTGTAATGTGCACAAGCAAAACAGAAACAGAGCCAATCGTAAACATATGTATATCTTTTTCATTTTTCATTGCACAAGCAAAGAAAAATTCTCGCTCTTTAAGAATCCAATCTATACTGCACTCTTATCTGAAAGCAAAATACTCAACCCCACCATAAATCTTGAAGTGTGTTTAGGAGGTTTTCAATTTTTATTTAAGAATCTATATTCTTATCTTTTTCCTTCGAGGCCCCGCCCAACAGTTTAATTTGGCGAGAGGCCCATAAATACTTTTTGGTATAGGAAAAAAAGGCCCATCCATCCTTGGGAAAAATGGAAGAGACGCTGGTGAGTTTAACATGGGGACTTGTTTCCTTGGTTGCAATCTTGCAACGTGGCTCGGTAAACACATTTTACTCCCAAGAGCCTTAAGAGGATGCTGAGTAGACTTGGAGAGTCCAAGAGCGTTCATGACTGCAAGGTCATGATTTCCAGATTTGATCTCAATGGTGATGAGGTCCTCAATTTTGATGAGTTTAAGGTCATGATGTTTTGATTCATGCAGTAGTACCATGGTTACGTTTCGCGTCTGGGATTAGATTAGATTGGATAATCGACCATATTTATGTAGTATGGTTTTATGTTTTTGCATAGCTTTTGTAATTTTTTCATTCATTATTAGTTTATTTAGGATTCCTTTTAGACTAGTTGATTAATACAATCCAACATATTGCAATTTAGGTTTGGTTCGATTAAGTAGAGAGCAATGCAATTTATTTATTTCAGGAAACAGAGATTAATGATACAGAGGAGAAAACCTAATCTTTGTGTCCCTATCAGATTCTTGCTTACATATATATACAGGAAGAAGACTATTATTTATACCTTACTTACCAAAACGCCAAGGCAAGAAACCTAAGACAAATTAAAACATTTATAACATAGCTACAACATGTCTTTTGTTTGGATCCTTGAACCCTTTATTCACATCACATATTGCTATTGGTTTTTGCTGCTGCCTTCACTAGAGGTTTACAAGAGCTCTCACTGATTAAAATATTCTCTCCTTCTTGGCTTAGCGACTCTTCCACCAACCTTGACAGTTTCTCAACAATTTCTCCTGCACTTGGTCTCAAACAAGGGTCTTCGTCTACACAAGCCCTCGCAAGATTTGCCAACGTGACAGCTGCATCGAACGAGTAATTTTCACCCAACCCGCTGTCCATCCATTCCCTTAGCTCATCTGCATTATCTGACTGCAATATGGACTTGATTTTCTCTGAGAGCCAAAAGTTCCCTTCTCCCTTCTCACTTGGCCTGCTTATCGGTGTTTGCCCACACAAGACTTCCAACAACACCACCCCATATGCAAATATATCAATGCTTGGAGAAATTACACCCTGGTGAATATATTCAGGAGCCATATAGCCAAGACTCCAAGAGGCAGCAGGGCTGGTTGAACAAACTTGGTGGTCATCAGTGTCATTTTCAGCACACTTTGCCATACCAAAGTTTCCAATCTTGGCATTGAACTCTTCATCTAAAAAGATGTTTCTGCTCTTCACATTTCTATGGACATAACTTGGGTTCATTATGTGGTGCATATACTGTAAGGCCATGGCCACATCAAGACATATCCTCAGCCTTTGGCTCCATGTCAAGAAACAATAGCAGGAGGCAATGAACTGGTTTTTGATTGCCAATCCACCATGAAGCCAGTCCTTCAATGATCCGTTCTTAGCATACTCGAAAACCAGAAATGATTCTTGACCCTCAGTCAAACAAGTGCCCAACAACCTCATTATGTTGGGATGATGGTGAATTGCATCATGAAATAGCCCAAACTCAATCCTTGAGATGGTATCTAGTTGTGTGCGCTTTATTGCCAAGTTCTTCCCACTGAGACGGCCGTGATATACAGATCCCTCAATGTGGCTGCTCGAACTGAAGTCCTCGGTTGCTCTTCTCAGCTCCTCAATGCTAAATGTCTCCACCAGCACCTTGTGGGGCGTGGTGGTATCGATGATCTGACCGTCTAAAGTATCCTGAGATCCCTCAAATGAGACTTTCTTGTCACTTGTGGTTCTCACACTTAAACTAAGCTGTTGCAGTTCCACATCACCTCCTTTTGGCGAACTCTGTTTCTTTTTCTTCAACTGAATTAACAAGAAAGCTGCTGCAATTGCAATGCTAGCTCCAATAATGACCCCACTAAGTGCAACATACAATCCAATCTTGTGCATTTTTGCTTTTTTCTTGTGTGGACTAATTGCTGGGATGCTAGTTGCTGGAAAATGCAAATTGGGCTCGCGGGGTTTCTTTAGGGGGCCAAGTATAGGTTTGCCATTGAGTGGAATGAGAAGAGATGTAAGAGGTGTTAAGCTGCTTTCAGGTCTAAAGGTTCCTCCTAGTGATCTGTTATTTTCAGATATGATAGCTTCTTTGGTAGTATTGAACTTAATTGCCAAATCAGAAATAGAATCACCTTCACTCACGGGATAAGACAGCAAGAGTCTTGATTGTGAAGATGAAGAAGGACAAGCACATCTCAAGGGGATGAGTAACTGAAGCTTATCAGCAAGACCCCAAGGCGAGACACCCCGGTTCTTCTCTCGGATGGCTTTGCAGGTTGTCAAGCCTTCAAGTGCTTCAGCAACGCCATAAAAGCTCTCCCCCTTAATGGTAGTTTTTGTCAATTCTGCATGAAACAACCCTCCATTGCTGCTGCATTTACAGTCGATTGGTATCAACAAAGGCTCATCTTTTGGAAGAAACTCTGTGTCTGCTGAAAATCCGTTTGCTTCTGCAATCACGAACCGGTTGATGCCTAAGTAAGCACTCAGATTGAAAAGAGACGAGTAGTATGAGTTTGTCCGGAGAATCACAAACGTCCTGCACTGATTCTGTAGTGATGATCCATTGGTTCCAGCAGAAGTGCAGTGGTATCCAGAAGCATCAGGAGATGTGGTCTCGCAGCTTAACAGGTTCTGTGACTTGTGTCCAAGTGCCGCAAACACGAGAAGTGAGATGAATAAGAGAGAAACTATCAAGTGGAGCTTAGTGAGCAAAGCTGCAGCCATGCCAATGACCACTAGACTGACCACTCACTTCCACATGATACAAGGCCTATAAAAAAAATACAAAACAAAACAGTTAAAATACTTACTTTGAGAGAGTGAGTATTTTGGATCCATACAAATATGTTGGAGTTGAAATTAAATACAAGAATTCTATCGAAGTTGTTCATGGACAGGATTCTTGGGGATGACAAAGGAATTATATATATTAATTGCTCTGTTTCCAGCTGTTTAATTAGTCCTTACCTTGGGCTAATTCATCCGAAGTTCCAATTGCCACTGATCATAAGTAGCTACCAATCTTTCTCTAACTCGCAGAAATCATGTGTGCATTCCCCAAAATGAAAAGATGGAAGCAAAGCTCAATTGGCAGGCAATATCAGTATGGATTAAAATGGTGCAGGATTAGAAAAGGCTGATTGGGAATTGGAGAAAAGGAGGATAAATTTAGTCCAAATGCGTTCGAAGAGACAATGACGCGATGCATGTTAAAGGAGAGGCATGAAAGAGAGAGAGGCCTACACTACACATTGATAGGTCAAATTGGTGATGAACATCCTTAGGTTGACAAACGCCACCAATACTCATAGCCCTATAATCAATATTTGTCCGGGCACATCACATCACACACGCGTTGCTTGTATGATAATTAACTTTTAGTCATAGCCTAAAGATGAAACCATTAAGTGTGCATGGTTATAAATTCATTTCTAAAAGAAGTAACAGGTAAAAAGAAAGACCCTTCATCATATATGAGTTAAGGCCAGTTATTCAAAGCAGTGTGCCCGCTCCCTTGCATATGAGTTCGATCCCCCTTCCCATATATTGCACCCGTATAAAAAAGAAGACCCTTCATGCTTGGTGAGAGAGACAATGAGAGGTCATGGAACACACTCAGATTCATTCAGGAAAACTTGTTTGGGAAATCCAAATGCATGAATGTGTGTCATTCATTCATTCATTCATTCAAGAGAGAGAGAGAGAGAGAAAGGATCAAAACGAGCGTCGCAGTTGCAGTGTAGTACAATTTCCAGCACATCCTCCCAAGAGAAGCGGACTAAGCTAAGAACCCCAGAAGGCCAGATGAGGAGAGTGATGATGCATGCACTTTTCATCCAATCAAAGTTAAGATTAAGAAACCCAAGTACCAATGAATATGAATGAACCGAGAGTTCAACAGAGCAGGGCACGTGATAACACATGCAAACCACTTCTCTTGGTCAACAAGATTAATATTAATAGACTTTAAAACCAAGACGAATTTGGGACTTTGGAGCATGCCTGAAATCTAAATGCCTTTGCCGAGACATAAAAAAAGAGTACAGTTTCTTCTCACGCCCACAAAACTTACACTAGCGTCCAAGTCTTACGTGTATTATTATGACAATGCTCAGGTGGAGATGAAGTAAGAATGAAAACTGGAAATAGATATCCCCTTTCTCAAACGTTTAAAAACACATCGATCTGATCTCTTGTTTCTCTTGTATTATATGAAATGGGTGCTTGAAAAACGATAGTTAGCGAAAGGAAAAACACCAAACTGAATTTTTGGACCTGCTTTGCACGTACGGGAAGGCTAGCCCGAAGGAAAGAGAAAAAAAAAAGTCCTGCATCAGCAGTAGTGGATACCAAATGAAAACATTTTGCAGATCGCATATCATGTCTTGTGCATCAGTGCATGTGCATCAAAATTTGAAGTGCTCCACAGATCAGAAGAAAACATATCTTAAGAAGAAAAGAAAAATAAGCATGTGCTGACGTGGTAGACATTATTGTCTGGGGAGTTATGACTGTCTAAAACGAACAAGTACGACATAATTTCATGATAAATAACACTTGAGAAGGCACCCTCAAATATTCTTATTCAATCAAGTTTCAAAACTCACCACGTCAACTGGATCATACATGTAGTGTAAACACTGTAAATATATGTTGATATAAAAAGAAACAAAAAACCCAATTATGATACATCTTGCATGTACCAGAATCAACTTTTGTGTTGAGATTCCTCAACACTACTTCTCAAAAGGGATATTACTGCACTAGGGTCTGAGGCTCCAAACACTGAACTTCCAGCAACTATGCAGTTGGCTCCGGCTGAAGCTGCCGCGTTAATGGTTGAAGGCCCTAGGCCACCATCTACCTGCGTAATGCCGTTGACACTAATGAGATGCATATCCCCTCGTCCCCAGGAAAACAACCCTTAAAACCCCACATAGAATGTGTGCGTGGAGAGATACACCATATCGTGGGTGAACTAATAGAACTTGCATATAAAAAGGTTCAGAGGAAACATTAGGGGTTAACTTACCTCTATATCTAGCGAAGGGTACCTTTCTCTCAGCGTGCGCACCTTCTCCATCATTTCTGGCATGAACTTTTGTCCCCCAAATCCAGGTTCTACAGTCATAACAAGGACCATTTCCACGGGATTCTCACCTTCAACCTGTGGATTACAAAGCATCATTGAATACCTTCTCAATTCGAATAATTATGCGGAGTAAAAGTTACCGAATACTCGACAATGTATGCAATAGCAGTAGATCAGATTTTCTTTATTAAGTTAAAGAAAATTTGCAAAACACCAAACAAAGGAGGAAAGAAGGAGAAAGAAGTAAGACCAGAGGATAAACGTCTTCAATTGGTGTTCCGGGCTTTAATGCCACACCTGGCTTCATGCCCTTGGACTTAATTCTTTGAACAAGTTCTTGCCAATTTTCTGCATAAAGGAGGATAAATACAGAGACCCTTTGGTAACAGGAAATAAAAGCAAAATGAACATCCCCATTCCCAAACACCACAACCCACCTTTGGATACCTCGACATGAAATGTAAAACCTGAAGCACCAGCTTTCGACAACGGTTCTACATAATCAAGAGGATTTGTGACCATAAGGTGACAATCCAAATACGCCCTGTAGGTGAAGAAGAATGATGCCTACATTACATCCATTTATTCTTGGTAAAAGAAAAAAAAAATGAAAATGTCAAGGAAGTTACTCTGTGTGCTTTCTCAAACTCTGAATGACGGGTGCACCAAGTGTTAAGTTTGGGACAAAGTGCCTATTCAGAAAAGAATGGATGAACAATAAGACCACCTCCACTATTTACAATTGTAAGAAGTAACGGTGTGATTAGTAGAAAACATAAAAGCACTTTACTTTGTCTTAGTAAGCACATAACAAATCTTTCATAACCAAAAAATGAGCAACTTTAATGGCACAATCAGATTATGAACATGCTGAATTGAATACGAACAAAATCACACACTGATTCAATCCTACTAATGGAATTATCATCCCATACAGTTCCAGGTACTATCACAACTTCATGTTCTTCTTCTTCCCCTTCCCCCCACATCCCAAATCCAGAATCAAACACTACATTGTATCAAAATTTAAGGACGTGGAATGATCAAACCGAATTGGATAGCAGTCACTTGAGAGACATGGAAACTAGTAAATGAGCAAAAGCGAATCAAACCTACCCATCCTGCACAAAGAGACGAGAAATACGCAAGCTTCAGTGAAAAGAAAAAAGACATTTAACTCCATCAAACAAAAAAACTGATGAATTTCGAGGAGGTACCATGATGTCCATGTGGAGCCAATCGGCGCCAAATTTGAGCATGCGCTCGGCCTCCGATGCCAAATTGGCGAAGTCCGACGACAGCATCGACGGTGCTATTTTCGCCGCCACACCCATTTTCCAAAATTCACAGCTCTATTCAACCACTTTTCAGTTTGGTGGGCGAGAAGACACCTTGACAAGTCCAAGAAAACAAATTTAGCTCAAGAGGGTTGGTGGTGGGTAGAGTCGTGAGTGAACACACGGCGTGATACGGCTTGCTTGATGAATGGAAGGTGGGCTGAATTGGACTGTGATAGATAGAACACTCTTTTAAGCCCAATAAGAAAATGGATATCAAGAAATGGCCCACTTAGACAATTCCTGCACTTTGGCCATTGTTAATTCAGGAGAGGGATGAGATGAGACAGCCATGGAGAGAGGGAGAGGAGCAAACAAAGCCACGTGGACGGACGGCGCATCCTAAGAAATTTTGTATGTTGAATAATTTGAGTGATTGACTGATAATTATTCCAATTGAAGATATGATAATGATGTGGATATGCTGAAACCACCGGATACAAACAGACATGGCCAGCCCAAACACAACGCAAATATTCCAAGTTTAATTTCAACTCAAGAATCGCTTATTGCAATTTGAATCTCTTTTTTTTAATTTTGGCATTAAGCAAGCATTCACATCGTATCGTATAAATAAAGTTACAGAGTGGGTGGTTGTTATGGGTTCACATCTTCTAAATTGCTCTTTCGACTCTCGACTTTTAGGGGCACTGCCGCTGGGTCCCCTACCCCCCAACCTAAACCCAAACGCCAAACCTATGTGTTTCTGTGATTCTCCCTCCCCATTATGTTTATGTGAAACTTTTTTCATCCGTCTTCTCTTCTCTGGAGAAATTAAATTGGTTTATAATTGGCAAGTGTTGAAAACGAAGGGGAAAAACCAAAGTCCATTTCCTATCTTCTTTTGGTTCTTATCCACCACCACTATATATAAAATATAAACACAACATGGATTGTGACATGCACACCAACTTTTCATCTACAAATCACCACTCTCTCAGCAGTCATCTTCCATTGTTATCATTTGGAACAGTAAAAGTTTGGTTTTCCCCTCCATTATGCAAGCCTAATTACTCGAAGATAAAGTTGTTAAGTTTTGACCAGAAAATAGATAAAGTTGTTAAGAGCAGTCAGTTATCTCCGTAATTGAAATTCCGTGTTCAAATCACCATTCTCCAATATCGTTTATATGAAGGGTAAGTAAAAAACCTAATGACAGAGAAAAAAAATACCAAACTCTTCCACAGAGCAAACTAAAGGCCCCTCAACACATTAAGGGGAAAGTAGATGGAGCACTTTATTTGTGTTACAAGATAGTTTACTTGTGATATAAGGCCAAGACAGACAGGACGCATCTTTATCTTCATGCATCCTTAAGTTTAGCTCTTGTTAATTAACTCAAGAAATAATTAGGTTATGGTAAATTGTGCAGCACAGCACCGCGTTGGGTGAAATACATCATTTTCATCCCTGCTCCGAGCCACGTCTTTGAATTCGTCTCTTGTAATGAGAACATGCAAAGATTAGTGTTTTTTGGGGGATAATACAACAAAATTGAAACGACAGGACGTCGGTTAGGAATAGCATGTGATTTTCTGATAAGCAATTTAATATTTTAATGTCAGCTGTCAATCAAACTCAAGCACAGCAACAAGAGCATGGCAAACCGGTCATGCTGATCTAATTTGCTGCCTTCTGTCTTGTCAAAGCATGGCACAGTGCATGGTTTATCTTTGAGTGTTTGACTTTTATTTCTTCGTTCTCTTGGTTTTGGCGTCGGGTTGTTTTTTTTTTTTTTAAACTTGATCGTCGGACTTTTTTTTAACAAAACAATATTTAACGTAGAGGAGGGGATAAAACTCGGGTATAAGAAGGCGGGGAGATTGTTTTGATTTTGATTACCACAAACTCAAAGTGAATAACATTTTACACAATTGTATTCTGTAATTAAGTTCTATTTGAAAAGTAATTTTTTCAAACTACTATATTAGTAGTAATTTTTGCAAGTCAAAGCCTTTTTAATTATTTAACTTTGGTTTGGTCAACAAAAACCCGTGTTAGTTGTTAACTTTTTATATAGATCTAATGGAAGGGATTACTATGACTTAATTGCAACCTAATACAAAGGCAACCAACTATGAGATTTAATTCAAGTCATGGAATGGAAATGGACACATGGATTCAAAAGCGATGTACAGTGTACTATCTTGACCAATATTACATAATAATTCATTTACACGTGAACATGGTTATTGTGGTAATAACATTTCTTTTTCTTTTTCTTGTTCTTTTTCTTTTTTGGAAAGGAAATGTTTGTAGTAATAAAATTTATTTAATTGCGAATTTTCGTGGGTGCATCTGAAGTCAACTTCTGACACGTTGAACATTCGTTAGCATTTATACAAACTTGTTTAAGGGTTATAAAAATGTCCTCCTAAAAAAATATGTATAGAACATTGGTTTTGTTTACACAACAAAGAAAGAATTAACAAGCGTGACATTCCTTTGATTTTGTTTGTAATTCAATTCAATGAATTACCTGTTTGTTATTATTTAAAAAAAAAGGTTTATCATTTGGGAGATTACCGGATAGGCATGAGAAGTTAAAAATGATTAAAGCATGATTAAAGGGTTTAAGACTGATTTTATTCCATGTTGAAGAAGAATTTAAACACATTCATGACAGTCATGATCTTTCATCGCCCGTTCATCGCTATATAATATATATATATATATATATATTCCATATTATTATTATGGCCAAATAGTTCTCAAAGCAAAAACGTTTTTCATTCCGTTTAACTTTTCACAAAAAGAAAAATAATTCAGAGAGTCTCAACTCAGCGTCAGCTTAGACATGAGCCTGAGAGAAGCAGTAGGCCCCACAATTTCCACCCCATAGAAAAAGACGAAAAGCTCAGCAGCCCCAGTGGGTCACCACCAACCCTGAAAACCCACGATTCCGCATAAACAGTAAAACCTCCTCCTCCTCCTCAGCGCATCTCATTCTCGTAGAGAGAAGAGAAGAGCGTTTTCTTACCTTTCAAGGCCTCTCTCTCTCTCTCTCTCTCTCTCTCTCTCTCTCCGCGGGATTTTTTTTATTTGCAAAGGGCATATTGCCTCTCCCTAAGCATAACGCCAAAAAACGCCTTCCTCCCTCTGCCCTCTTGTTTCTCCTCCTACTTTACTCTATCTCTTTCTATCTGTCTAAAAGCGCGATGTTCAGAGTGGCACTGATATAATTATTATTGGGTTAGATAAATAAACGCAGAGAGAGAGAGAGAGAGAAAGAGAGATGGGTTCATGTGTTTCGATTCATAGGGACGCGGACTCCGCCATGAAACTCAGACTGTCATTTGGGTCCAAAACCGACAAGCTCGTCACCCCACCCTTCCCAGTCAACGATAAACTCGTCAATGGCGACCGTCCGATCAACGATCCTCCTATTAAATCTCATTGGTCGCCCTCTCGCTCCGCCACCGCTTTTCGGGACTACGGTAAAATAAAAAAGCTCAACTTTTTAAAGACTTCGTTTTTAGTCTTGTGTGGTCAAACAAATCAAATATTATGACTTTTAGCTTTTTAATCTTCTTCAACGATCTTCACATGGATAAAAATACGTTTGTAGAAATCAACCCTGCGTTTGTGCGTGGTTTTTGATCATCTGGTTTGCAATATTTTTGTACAAATGTCTTGTATTTGGCGTGCTTGCTTTCTTGATTCGTTATGAGGTGTATGAAAGGTTTATGCTTTGAGTCATTTTCTCGCCACTTGCTGCTAGATATGGGTTGTATTTTTATTTATTTTTGGCTCCCTTTAATTCGAATTCCTTGTTTTGGAGTCATAAGGAAAATTTCGTTTTCTCCTTACTTGTAATAGTAGTTAGAGATCGCTTTACGTTATGACACTATCTTCTTGCCTTTTCAAGCGAGATTCTAGTGCTTTCCAGAGCCCTTATTCCTTGCAAGTGGTTGTGCATTTACTTTGCGACGCGATCTTTTTTTTTTTGGGCACCGGAAAAAATGCATATCTTTTTCCTTTGGTTGCTGAGATCAGTTGGCTTATTGTAATAGTTTCGATCATGCTGCTATTATTTTTTTCTATTTATAGAAACAACCAAACTTGCAGTTAAATTGTCTTTCACATGCTGGATAGATAATAGGTGAACTTGAGGGCAGCTTGTGAACTTTAGAAATGTAGACTTCTAGGATTATATCAAAGATTGGTGAACCAAGCTTCTATGAAAGCTTGGTGCTTGGAGTATGAGGGCACTAGTTACTCCAATGGGGATTCGGATTCGGTCGTATTTAGTATAGATGACTCATTGTGATTGTGGTCCTCCCTGCTTTCATTCCTTCATTTCAAAGCGATGGATATATACATGGGGCCATTAATTTTACCTTAATGCCTCTTGTGATTTGAACTGTCAAGGATCATATCAATACCTAAAATTTAAAGTGGTGGATGGATCACATTTGGAAGGTCTTTAACTTTTTTATGTGTTGTCTATGGAGAAGAAGAGGAAGGTTGTACTTGTTTTTATTTGAATAGCTAAACTGATCAGTTTCGGGAAGCTTTGAAATGAAACATTATTGGAAAACCAAGGAAGGTGAATATCAACCAAGGACTGATTGAATATCAGGTTCCACCTCCACCCCATCAAACAATGGGTCTTTCCTATGCCACCGTATCATCCGCGGTTGCTAATCGACTCTGGTTGGCTCTTCCCTAGCTTGGAAGTAAAGTTGCATTGACCCTAATGTTAATTGTTGTGGCCAAATATGTTTACCAGATAGATATCATATACTTAACTAAATTCATGCACTTGACATGGTGCACCTAATTACTTGTGTTCCAACTTGGCTATATCTAGATTCTATACTCTCTCTGTTCTGTTTGCTGGTGTTTGTTAGATGGATGTTCTTCAAGGCAAGCATTTGGGGTCTTCTTTTAGCTCTACTGCATTTCCCTAATTAAGTTTTAGTTCCATTTTTTCTTTAGCAGGTAGTAGAGAGGAGGCCTTTTTTGATACGAAGCCGTGGTTGGACTCAGATTGTGAAGATGATTTCTACAGTGTCAATGGTGGTAAGCATCTAGTCAAATGCTTTGAGCCATTTTGTCTTTCTAGCTTATAATTTTTGTACCTTTGATTCCTTCTACTAT